CAGCCCTAATTTAACCCCTGCCTAGTTCACTACAGGGGTACTTGATTTGAAACAGCTAGGGAGTTACGAGAGCAGCTGAAGAGCACCAGCGTTGGCTCAATCTAATCTGCTGTACAGGCAGTGGAGTGTGCACTACTCCTGAAGCAGCAGCACTCTCTAAACACCAGACACACACTCTGGCCAAGGAGTCATCTGCCTTATTATTCCTAATAACATTAAGCATCAATAATTAATACTCTGCAGTTTCTCTGCAGTGGCTGGACTGTGGTGGAGTCCTGCAGAAGGGAGAGAGCAAAGCGAGTTGCGGAAAGGCTGAGGCCGTTCTGATTTACAGCAAAACAAGATTAGAGCCCGGCCGCTCTGAGAGCTGTCAGGAGCCATAACGGAGAAGCCTGGGCTCGGCTCGCCGCGGCCGTCAGCATCAGTCATCCAGCAAAACAACAATAACAGGCACGTGATCAACCGGCCCGAATGGGGCCGACGATCGATCTGACCGATCAGCTTTTTTGGCCGCCACAGCTGATTAGAAGGGCTAAAACATCAATGACTATTTTAGATTTCAGGCAGAAGCGGAAAGGGCTGCATGGCGCTTTGACATTTCAGTGCTGCCTTTTCTCTTTTCTTCCTCTATAGGGAGTGAACATTGGAAGACATTACATTAGACTGAGAGCAGATAGAATTGATTCAATAAGACTGTGTAATATCTGTCACTGCAGATCAGGCACACACACTGAGTGAGTGTGTGTGTGTGTGTGTGTGTGTGTGTAAAACCCTAAATCCCTAAATGACAAATATCATTCAGTTCAACACTGAGGCTGTCAATTGGGCTCATATATATATATATATATGTTCCAGCTTGTGAAATATTTGAAACACCATTTTTCAAAACAGTAACACTTCATTTGAACACTGTTACATAACATCGACATAAACATGTCATGGCAAATGTCATATGCTGTCATGAGCATGATATAGCCCTCATGACATCAAACCACTTAGCCCTTACCCCTACATTTTGCACGTTCACGTCTAGGGGTAGGGTGTCTTGATTTTTGTTGAGATGGAGGGGTAGGTAGAAGTGTTAGGGCTACATGGCCCTCCAAACAGAGTGGTTTGAGAAAAAAAACGACAAGATGGCTACGCGAGTGACCAAAGAAACCTACAATTCATTTCAATGTATAATGGTCCTTTTCTTCATATCAGCCATAAAAAATCGCCAGTAGTGTTTTGATTTCTTGGGAGCTTCCTCATTTCGTAGGGAAGACTCCAACCACCACCTGCTGTAACTCAGTTCCAAGAGGCAAGGTGACACTCAAAAACAAGAGGCAGAGGTAAAAATAAGAAATGGAATTAGGCCTTATCTTACTGGACATAATCTGTCATGACAACTCATGGCAGGGTTATGTTGCACACGGTAGTTCACGTAAAGCATCTCTAAATCTCACAGTTTTACAAACCAGTGAGTCTAACCCCATCAAACCAAATTTCTTACCAACAATCCACTCTGAGAATTTGCCGATGGTCCCTTTAATTCCGAGGCGACTGAACACAGGAACTGGCCATTGTGCAAAGTATTAATGGATACAATCAGTGCTTTCCATTTTTAAAGGGTTAAAAAGGATTAAAAACAGATTATGTCTGGTAATATAACAGTGTCGTGTTACTGTTACTTGTACTTGTCAAAACTAGAGTACATTAGCATATGATGTCATGACATCAAACATCATGGCATCTGTCAAGACAACTACCAGTAATGGTAACATGACACTGTTATATTACTGAACAAAATCTGTCATGTCAACTCATGACAGCGTATGACATCTGCCATGATACGTTTATGGCATGGTTGTGTCAGTGTTATGTAGCCGATTCAAGTAAAGTGATCGACTTGTCCAGTGATACTGAGCTCCAGGCCACTGAAATAGTGACTACTACACTACTGAGCACCCACATTTGGTCAGAAGAAGTCTGAGATCATGGAGAGAAACAGGGAATGTATTAATGTCTGTTACCATTAACAGCAGACAAACTACTTTGTACAAGCCACAAAAGAGCTGCTGGGTGTTTATTTTGTTATTTTTGATGATTAATTTTTTATCTTTTCATTGAAAGAAATGCCAAAGAACATCCCTTTGCCATGCCCCACCCACACCCAGAATGAACAGACACATCATACATACAGCACAGTACACTTAGGTTGAGCAGTCACAACATAAACACATTAAACAGATAAGCAAGCAAAAGGCACTTTGGTTATCCTATCATTTCATGTACGAAGAGTTCTTAACTGTTCATTCTGATAGATCATAGTTTCAGATAGAGGATGTCCAGTAATGTATGAAGCCAGTGATGTATGGACAGATGATGAGGGGTAACCAACTTTGGACAATCAGTCAGCCATTCCGAGCCCATTCCATAATGGGGAATCCTGAGTCATCATTAAGAAGAATACATACCCATTTAAACACAAGATAGGCTGTGTCCAAAACCACATGCTGCTATACTATACTATACATAATATACTGATGAATGGGCTTCTAATGGTCCATTTTAGTTTTGACATACTAGTTCGTATGGCAGTATATGGTTTTAGATGCAGCGTTAGATTGTTGTTTTATTTATTTAGGGTCAGTAATGGTGTGCTTGGTTGCCATCATGTGACTAACCTGTCTAAAACATACCAGGAGAGACTGCAGAGGCTTTAAACACTCAAACCGATGATTTCTACTGCCATGTTTTCATTGATTTCGCCGAAACATTCAACTTTCAAATTTATTTTGACAGCCCTGTTGTGTGTTTGGAGCCTGTGAAAGTGGGCAACCCAAAAAAAAACAAACAAACAAACAAACACAAACATGACGCTCGTGAGTGTTTGCAGAATGAAGCTGTGTACACTACAGCACGTCTGTGCTACAGTCTTCAATCTACGACCTCTGTAGGACGATAGAGCAAACACTCCGCACATTTCTGGTTCATCCACGCTGCGTGTTTTTCTCATCTCTGCCCGGTCAGAACTTTGTTGCTATGGCTACGCTGCCACCACATATTTAAGAGCAACCACGAGACGCTGCGAGAGGCACACGAGAGGAGAACCAGCCCAACTGGGAGAATCACTGCGCACTGATGATAATGACTAGGCCATACGTCTTCATATGAATCCCTTTCAAAGCAGCGTCTAATCGACATGTAATTGCTGCATTAAATGAAGCAGTGATGAAGAGCAGATGAAGCATAGGAAAGCATTATATCTCAGATTTTCAGTTCTCACATAGCAACGCTTCAGTCTCTTGTGAGTGTGTCTCAGCACTAATTCAGTGCATGCCTTCACATTAGATGCCATAATTAACTGTGAGCACAGTGTTTGTTAACTGTGGACGGCTGATGAATATATGAAAGCCTTTCTGTTCATAACCAAGGACGGATTGTGAAGGTCTTACTTTCTTCATAGAAACGAGAGATAGGAAGGAAAAGGAGGAAAAGTGCAGTTTGTTGAGATCAAATGAAAATAAAGTGAAAAAATACAATGAAATGGTGCTTTTTATAAAAGATCTTGAGCAAAAAAAAGTTTCATTTCTTTGAAACTGAAAGAGCACAATTTTATCTTTTGGGTTACTGGGGATGAGTTTAGGGTTAGTTGTAGGTTCAAGTTTAGACTTATAGGGATCATTTAAAATTTTAAGGCAGCCCAAACTAACTAAGTTAAAAGCTTTTTTTCAGTGTAATAATGTCTATTTCACTAAAATAAATGTTTGAACGTTCCATTTTATCACATTCACAACAACTCCAATGAAATTTTACCGAATGTTTCACTAGTGACTGTTTCGCTAATGTTAATTTTAGCTAATTTTGAGCAGAACCAAAAATGCTAGCCAATAACACAGCTTTGAACAGCTGTACAGACATAAGACCATCATATTTTTCATTAAAACATTAAAAATGTTTTGCAGAATTGTGTAATTGCAGAAAATGTGTTTCAGGAGTGACAATTGTTCATGTTACACACTGATTTTCAGACTTTGGGGCACATTTACTCGAACAATGTGATCTAACTGCTCACAATGTGGTCATGAGGGACAGGGATGCAGTCCCATTTCCTGCTCTGAAATGCAGGGGGTGTGGTTAAAATAAGGCTCCGCCTACAGACTAAAATTCTGTGTTTCCATAGTGACACGAAAATGTGAGAGAATTTTTTGAAAAAAGTTTCTTAAAATGAAACTTATGATTAATCTTTCAACTAAATCTAAATCTTTCAACTTCACTTTAAAAGAAATCAAAACGATATTTACCAAACATGAAAAAATACAAAATACTGTAAGCATTTTCAAGTTAATATTTTAGGGTTAGGGTTTAGGTCAGCCACCTCCCAAAAGAAAGTAGTTCATAAATGAGGATTTTGTATATATTTAGATTATTACTATTTCAATTAATGCCTTAGGTTTAAATAGATCATAACATAACTCCTGTAAATATCTAAGGTCTGAATACTTCATTGTTTTTTTATTTATTGTTTTGTTTCCTGTAGGACTGCAGTTTGAACTAATTGGGTAGAATGGTCCATAGATACTTATATATATATATATATATATATATATATACACACCATAAAATATAAATAAGTCCTAACTTGCACAGGCCATTTTGTTTTTTTGCACATCAAAATTCAGCAAATAAATAGTAATTGTGCAGTAAAATGTGCAGAAGTGTGTTAACTTATTTTCACTTCCAACGTGTAATTTGGCCATATATATGTATATGTATATATATATATATATATATATATATATATATATATATATATATATTACATGTATGAGATATTATTACATATAGGCAGTTCCATACATTTACAACATTAACATACTACATTCAAACAAAGCTGTGTGCGTGTGTGGATAGAGAAGATAGACAGACAGACAGAAAGAAGGACAACTGAGCAACTGGGTGAGGAAGTGCGTGTATGTGTGTTTTCTGTTTGTGTGCGTGTGACTCAGAATCCTTACCAGTGAGTTTTTCCAGCTCAGCGAGTGTGTCCTGGTAGGTTTTGATGAGCTGGCTGTAGCGGGTGATGACGTCCCTCCTCAGGTTATCCCAGTGTGGGGAGAGTTCACCCAGATCATTAAGCTCCTGTATCCTGCAATCAAACATCAAACTGCAGTCAGATAACGGTATTCATGCACATTATGTCCAAAGGCTTGTAGACAGCGCTTCTAATAAGTCAACTCAGCTATTTTAAGGTGCACTCATTGGTGATACAAATGTTCAACCGTGCACATAGCTTGCATGATCTCTATAGAAAAGCCAACAGAGACTCTCTGGAGCAGCTACACATGAGCCTAAGTTGTGATGGAGCTCCGATACCTTTGGGATAAGTAATGACTAGCGCTTTTCTGGCTAAACGCAACAAATCCTCACAGTCATTTTCAAACATATAGCGTAACACCTTCCCAGAAAAGAAGTTGCTATTGCAGTAAGGGGGGTATGGTATGCGCCCGTACCCTGGGCCCTGATGACGGCCGCGAGAGCCGGCAGGAAGGCGAGGCCCAAACTCTGAGCGAAGATGAAGCCCCATGAGGATGGTGGGGAGAGGAGAACAGCGAGTGAGTGGGGGACGGCATGTGAATCCTGAGCCCCGCCTCCAGCCCTGCAGTGAGGCCACTTTAATTTGCCTCATGTTCGACCCAGGTGGCCGAGCTGCAGAGCAAAGGTGGTGACGGGGAGGCGGAGCAATGGACTTACGAGCCACCACCAACTCACTCAGAGTTCTCCTCTTGCCGAGCTTCGTTCTCGCTTGGAGTTTGGGGCCCGCCTTCCTGCTGGCTCTCTCAGCCGTCATCGGGGCCCAGGGGATGGGTGCATGCCACAGGGGAATTTCAGAAGATTTCAGGGGAAATGTTGGATGAGCAAGTGTCCACAAATTTATGTATACACACTGTTTGTGACTGGCTCTGAAGCTTCTTGGGGAAGGTTTCAAATAACATTCTAACAGCAACAATATGAGCATTACAGAGTGCTTTTGTAGAATATTTCTTGAAGATTACGCAAGTTTTAAACCTATGTTAATGTTATCTATGCTTTGACCTTCTGGGTCATGGTGGGGAGCTGGAGCCAATCCCAGTGGTCATTGGGCAGAAGGCTGAAAGAATACACTATTCTTAAAATAAAACAACACTGTTATTCAAATTTTCATTATCCAAAATACCACTGTGTCATGTTTCATAACGCTTTTTTGTGGGAAAAAACATTCTTGCCAATGATGTAGAATAAACTCAGTCAGCCCCTCTATTATTACACAACATTTAGTCTCTCTCTTTCCCTCTTTGTCTCTCTCTCCTCTCACTTTGCCTACATTATCTCTAATCAGTAGCTTTGTCATTGTCTTTCTCCTGTTTGTTTTTGGCCACTATTACTGGCCTTGTCTATCACCTCTCCATGTGGTGTCTGTGGCCTCGAGGTAACACGACCACAGTGGCCTTATTAAAGAGTCGGCGAGTGCGAGTTCACTGAGGAGGGCTAGCAGACGTGCTAATGGAGCGCTAATGCAGGTGTCTTTGATGGTACCAGTGAGCAACACAGCTCTAAGATGATAGACTGTCCAGAAGTCTGCAGATTGAGTGTATTTCCACCGTGCACACAACACTGAAAAATGAAACTTTCCCCACTATTTAACCAAATGCCTTGTGGAAAACTGAACAAAAATGTCTCTAGTGCTAATCCTCATTATTAGTCAGTGTGACATTGCCCAGGTGCATTGTGGGAGTGCCCAAAGGGCCAGAACAGCAGGGCAGAACTAAAGTTAGATTTACATAGGTAATAGGGGGCTTATCTGGCTAAAACAGGTGGTTATAGCTTCCCTCTGCTGTTTGGGAAAAGACCTTTAATACATCTCATTAATAAAAAGCTCAGGCATCTTTTTTAATTGTGGAGGAAATTTCCATAGAGAACAATGATTCATTTTCATGTAAATTCAGGCTCCAAGTCTCCACATGCCCTTAATACTTCCAGCAATGCGATTAGTATCTTCAAATGATGCGAGTGCCACAAAAGCTGCCGATTCCTCGTAGCAGAGAAATCCTCCAGTATCTACTGAAGGGGGAAAAGAGTGCTTATTGTTTGCATGGTAATTTAGCTAACGTGGAGAAGAGAGGGAGAGATAATTATATCGGGCTTTGAGATGGTACAGCCCTGATAAGCCTGGCATAAAGTACAGACCTGAGGAGTAGAACATGAGGGGAAAAGCACACGCATTGTTCTAGCTTGATCTCTAGAGAATAAGCTGCATTTTCAGCAACGCTGCGCTGCCCGTTATCTACACAGGCTCTTCTGTTTGCCTTCAGTGGCCCGGCCTGTGGCGCTCTTCTCCCACAGATTTCAGTGATTCTTCAAAAGCTGGGCTCTCCTGGCCTCTTAAGCGTTATTGAAGGGTGGTCAGCAGCGGAGGTGTGTTATTTGTGAGCTGAGTGGATACTGCAAAATGGGGGAGGGAAAGGCTGACCCAAGGTTAGAAAGGGAAAGATGGTCAAAGTATATTGTTTCCTGAGCCATGAGGCTGTGGATTTTGGCTGTTACAAGGGCTGCTAAAATACTACGAGAAGGAAAAAAATGACAGGAAAGGAATAAGAGGTATAAAAATAGAGATGATAAAGTGAGAAATAAAAGTATGCGGCTGAGAGAGAAAAGAGAGAGGGGGTGTGGGACAGCAGAGGGAGATCTATAAAAGAGAACAGGTGCAGGAAAGAAAGAAGAAACAGATGAACAGAAAAAAGACAGGATGGAGGAAAAGAAAAAAGACAGAGAGAGAAATAGCATGTCAGAGGAGGAGAGAAATGCATGAAGAGCTGAAGAGGTGTGCTGAATGCTTGGCCTGAATCTCCACAATGGGCTGCAGAGGGAGCCTGTGGTGTTGGACCTTTATTTCATGGTGTGTTATAGGCGCTGTTCACTTTAATCACTGGAGGCTTGGAGCCTGGGGTCAACAGCAGCACTGCGAGGGGAATCTCAATTAGCAGCAGCTGCCTATACCACAGAACACAAACTTGCCCAGAGCAAGAACACGTTCTTCAAAAAAACTCAGGTGCAGAGGGAAATATTAAGCCAATGTGGTTCAAGTCTACATGCACTTATGCTTAACTTCAGTTAGCTTTTAAAAGAGAGGGTGAGAGAGGGAGAGGGGGAGAGAGTGGAAGTAAAAGACAGGAAGAATTAAGTGTTACTTTTGACACAGGAGACATGATATCTCGTCAGACAGGTTTGAAATTTTGGTATACCTCAGTGGACATTTATGGTGTTCCTCAAGGCTCTGGTCTAGGGCCTTTCCTTTTTTAAGTTTATATGCAACCTATGCAAGATATCATGTGCAAACGTGGAATAAATTTTCACTCTTATGTTAGCACACACTTATAAGTCAGGGGAACTACAGACAGTACAACAACAAAAGAGATAAAGAGAAGAAGAGAGAGAGAAAGGAGACTAATTGTGGATTCTGAAAACACTTACAAATTGTAACTGTCTTTCATATTATGAAGTTTGGCAACATCAAGAGTTAAGCAAAGGCAGTGGTTCCCTTACTCAGCTGGACCTTCAGTGCAATCCATAACACACTCACACAAACATCTCACAGGCTCGGGACCAGACGAAAACAGCAATTCTGCTATCTTACCTACAAAAACAGTACACCATGACAGACTGCCTGTCCACAAATCTGATATAAAACTAAGATCCATCTTGACAAAGTGCAAACAGATGAGCACCGTCTGGCTGTGGAGATCAGCAGACACAGGAAATCTTGGACACCTGAGGAACAAAGGATGTACCAGCAGGGCAAACAAAAACTGAACCAGCTGCAATTCCTGATGGAAACCTTGAAATTTGATGAGAATCACAAGTAATTCATCCAAAGACATCCCTCATTCAGCAACCTCTCTAAGCAAAGCTACTGTATGTATTAGTTAAACACAAGGAATTGTGGATACTGGCAGTATAATACAGTTTTGCCTTCCTGCCGCATGCAAACACCCCAAACCTTACTACATTATTTTAGACCAACCAAAATTTTTCTTTTTGAATCTTTTCACTTCTTAGAGTTGTAATGTTGCCATGTTTAATGAAATAGTGAAATAGGTCTCATCTTTACAGTTTTTTCAGTCTAAATGATCTTATTTTGTTATTTGGAATATTCTTGAATATAAATGTCACATTATTTTAGCCCCTCCAACCAAAAAACATATATTAAGCATTTCACCCTTTTTGGGATTATCAGTTATTTTAAGCTTTTACATTTAAAGGCCAAGCTATGCTTTATTTATGTTTTAAAGGCCACTTTATTGTAAATTCAGGGCATTAAATAATGCCATACCGAGCTAATATGATCTTCACATAAAATGCCACACATATACTGTTTTATCTTGCAAGGGCTCATTTGTTATACAAAAGTAAGCTGAAGTGAACTGAGATTGAGGAGGAAGAAACAGAGAGGGAAAATATGAGAGGTAGATAAAGAGACAGAGAGAAGGAGAGAGAGGAAGAAATGGAATGGGAGAGAAAGAAAGAGTGCAAGATATAAAAAGAGAGACAGACAGAAAAAGAGAGAGAGAGAGACAGAGAAAGAGAAAGAGAGAGAGAGTAGCAGTAGTGAAACACACACATCTGGCACACCTGGATCCAGCAGTAGTGGTGCGGTGGAGGTTTTGTGGCCAAGTAAAAACCACTGAGCAGCTGTTTTTGCTGCTGAATGATTAGCCACTCTGCTCTTTGTGAATAGACATTTTAATGGAGGCATTTTCTAGCAGAATTCTCACAGCAGGGGTGAAGTACAGTTTCCTCTGTAAAAGAAAAAGGCCCCTTTTGTTGAATCATTTGTTATGGACAGCAAAATGAGCTTCTAGGAAGAAAAATAAGAATAAAACTAAGCTGGCTGAGATGATGCTGAGAGGGCTGCTAACTAAAAGACCACAGGTTTAACATGAACACTACAGCTGGTGGAGCTTGTGTTTAGGCTTTGTGGTTTGTGAGATGGACAGTTATGATGGACACTGATGGTGAGTTAACATACGATAAAGTAAAGATTAAAAGCCCTTGATTTATTTTAGCCCATCATTAGTAAGAGTTAAAAAATCAAGAAGGTCCATGAAAAAT